GAATCACCATAAACTTATTTAAAAAAATAATTTCAACAATATGAATACAACATAAATTATTTTATAACAAAAATAATAAAAATCTAACTCAGTAATACACCATAAAATAAATATTTGAATTCGTGTTATAATAGATTTTATATAAAATAAAAAAATTAAGTGCAAAAATACGGACTCCATTTTGAGTTAATTTTTACTATGTTAGTTATTCATAATTTTTATATATTCATTATACATAATTTTACAATACAAAAATTATAAATTATTTTAGTTTTTCTATTATAAAAATATTAATATAATTATGTACCCGTGTGGTACACATGTATCGTACTAGTTGATACATATTTCTCTTGAAAATTAGATAGGTTTTTGAATAAATAATTTTTAATAAAATTTAAATTATATAATTTAATTTTATAAAATTAGTTGGTAAATTTGAACGACATAAAATACAGATTTATAGATTTAGCATAATATAAATTTATATGAAATAAAGATTAGCAAAATATATTTTTTTTTAATTGAACAATTTATACAAAACTAAATTTATACTAATTACTAAAAAATTAAGAAAAATTAATGGTAGAAGAGATAAATAGTGAAGATGATAAAAAGAAAATAATAAAAAATATGTGGAGAAGAAAGAAAAAAAGAAAAATAATAAAAAATTAGAAAAGTTAATAGTGGAAGGAGAGAGAAATAATAAAATAATATGTAAAGGTAAATTGTAGTGGGATGATGTCATTATTTATTTTATTTTTGATTTAATTTAACATTAGGGAGTTAGGAGGAAGAAAATTAAGGGGGTGTGGAGTGTAGAGGAAAAAAAAAAATAGAGAAGGGACTGACAAGGAATTTAGAAAAGGGATTAGAGATTTTAGAAGAAGTGTCCCAAAAAAATTTATTTAGAAAAAAAAATATCATCCCCACGACTAGTTGGTTAAATATAGTGTTTCTCGGTTGAAGAATTGAACGCACGCACGCCGGTAATATACTTTTCTACTCGACCTAAAACATGGTCCCATTATCCAAAGCGCTTAAAAAAGTATTTTTTTTTTCCTTCAATTTTCAATAAAGCTTTCTTCAAACACTTTTCAACTATGAGATACGGAACCATAACCTTATAAAATGTAATTTCTAAAAAATAATATTACATTTTATTTCGAATATTTTTTTACTTGAATCAAAATTTGGGCAAAATTTGTAGATCCGCCCTGTCCCCACGACATGTGACTATGTGAGGGTTCATTTCATGTGATTGGAGCTTGCGGGCATCACATATCCTCTCCACGTGTTTAAAGTTTAAGCTACAAATCTACCAAAAAAAAAAAATGATTATTATTTAGACAAAATTACATTTTTAGTCATAGGTTTAATTCTGTAGCATTTTTAGTTTAAAGATTTCAATTTTTTGTCTTTTGATATTGTAATTTTAGTATATTTGCTGCAATTTCAGTTATTTGAGACTGAAATTGTAACAAAATTTAAAATTATATGACTTAAATTGTTAATAAAAAATCAGTCCCTAAACTACAGGACTTTAAAATTTTAGTCCCTAATGACTAAAATTACGTTTAATTTAAAAATCATAGAACCAAGTAACAAAAAAAATCAATTCTTAGAATTAAACACGCCACTTAGAGGTGGCCAGATGCCTGTTCCCGGCCCGTCGGGCCATTGGCCCTCCAACACATGACCCACGACCGGCCCTAAAAATCAAGGGCGCACCGACCCGAACCGCCGGTTCACCGACCCGGCGGTTTACGAGCCTACGACCCTTTAAAAAAACTTTAAGAAGGTGGCCCGTCGTCCGACCAGGTCCGACCGAACCAGACCGACAGGTCAAAAAAAATAAAGGAACCGGGACCGAATCACAGCCCTACGGGTCCCAGTTCAACAAACCGGCCCTTAAAAAGCTGGTTCGGACCGGTTTGGGCTAAGTCCCGGTTCGTGGGTCGGGCCACGGGACGGTTCGGCCTGTGGCCATATCTAACGCCACTGGATCTAAAATTTCAATTTTGCCTATTATTTTCATAATAATAAAAAAAAAAAAGAAAAAGTAGTTTGTGGAATAATATCTTTCTTGGGCCGGCCACCGCCTCTGGCAATGGGACAACGCAAAAAGTACTCATTCTCCACAGACACACAATCTTTGATCAATCAAATAAACCTCAACACTTGTTAATTATTACTCCAAAGCCCCCAACCAAAATTCTACTGTCCACACACAGAATAAAGAATACTGCTTACTGTTGGATAAGGGTAGGGTCGGGTCCCTCCAGCATACCACTACATTTCAAATTAATCAATTATTTATTTATTTATTTTTTTGGTACAGAGACTTTCTGGTACATAGAAACCGACTAATTCGAAATCGAGCCGGGTAGGACCACAAGGACGGCAAAAGGGCTCGAACACGAGATCACTAGTTAAACTGGAAGAGACCCAAACCATCCCATCCAAGCGCTGTTGGGTTCAATTATTTATTTATTTATTATACCATATTGATGCACCAACTTTAAGGGGAAAAAGAAAAAGAAACAATATAGTATCAACTTAAATTCAACTGATAGATAATACATAATTATTATTGCTTACTGATCAATCAACTTATTTATTTATTTATTCCAGCTTGATGCTCCTTTTCTTGACGTACGTCACGTTGTTTGGCTCTTCTATTTTCTATTTTTATTTTTATTTTTCATTTTTCTATGTGGGCTTCTACATATATCTCAGGATGATATACTCAAAAAAAAAAATAAAAATTATATATATTTATTTATTTGTAATAATAATAATTTGTTTCTGAAATTTTACATGGTTTTCTTGTTTGCACACTCTTTAGTTCAAATCTCTTTATATGTTTGTGACTAGTAAACAATCTCTGTTTCTTGAATTTCTGAAAAGGGTTAAGCTAATCTTTTTCACTAATCTTGTGAGCCCCTTTTCAATAATCTCATCTCTCTCTCAGATGCCCTTTTAGAGAAAGCCTCCACCTTTACAATTTATTTTATTCCTTTTTGAGATTTTTCTCAACAGTACAAGTGTTGTTTTGTATGTATGTATGGGTGATCTGGGCAAGAACAAGTGTGTGTGTGCAGTTCAAATCTCATTCTCAGCTTGTGTTCTGCTGTTTACCATGATTGGGAACACAGTGGACTGCATAGGGGCAAATTGGGGAACTCAGGCGACCCACCCTCTGCCGCCCCGGGCGGTGGCGAGGCTGCTGAGGGGCAATGGGTTTCAGAAAGTGAAGCTGTTTGATGCCGAGGATGGTGTTTTGAGGGCTCTGAGTGGGTCGGGGATTGAGGTCATGGTTGGGATCCCAAATGATATGTTGGCCACAATGGCTCAGAGCATGAGTGCTGCTGATTTATGGGTTCAGAACAATGTTTCGGCTCAAATCTCTTCTAATAATGTGGACATCAGGTGATTCTTATTTTAGGGAGATGCTACGGGCGGCTGTTACGGAACCATTCCGTCGGGGTTTGTAACTATTAGATCAATTATCATTGACGGTTATGCGAGGATCTAACGGTTACAAATCTCGACCGACGACCGTAGCATTTCCCTTTATTTTATTCTATATTCATTTTTCAGTTTGTGGTTACTGTGTAGTTGTGTCTGGATTTGAACAGTTTGTGGTGATTCTTGTTAAATCTCTGAAATCTAAGGCTGGCTTTGTGTCTTCTTCTTGTTGTTTACAGTTTACACAACCAGCTGCTTCTGCTTCTGATTTTACCTGATTTCATCAGATTATTTGCAGAAGCCACCTTTAGATGCCTGAGATTTGGATTTTAGTAGTAGTTTTTTTAGTTTTTACCATCAAATAATATCTAAATTGGATGGTATTTTACTCACAATTAGGGCTGCAAACGAGCCGAGCCGAGTCGAGCATTGAGCTTATCGAGCAGGATTGAGTTTTTCTTTTTTTAGCTGCTCGAGCTCGAGCTCGATTGTTGAGGCTCGAGCTCAACTCGATAAATAATTACAATGGCTCGAGCTCGATTTTTTAGGCTCGAGCCCGACTCGATAAATAATTACAATAGCTCGAGCTCGACTCGAAATCAAAATGCTCAAGCTCGGCTCGAAAAGTTTTAAGTGGAAAGGTAAAATTACAATTAAGCACATATACTAAGGTATATAATAAGGGGTATTTTAGTAATTTAACGCGTACTCGAGCCGACGCAAAATATGGGCTCGAGCTCGACTCGAGTTCGTGCTCGAGCCTCTCGAGTTCGACTCGAGTTCGGTCAAACTCGAACTCGAGTCGAGCTTTGACTCCTACTCGCGAGTCTCGATTCATTTACGACCCTGCTCACACAACTACTGGTAGTCATTGAAATCAAGAATACTGTTACTTAAAGGCTTAAGCTACCATCAACAATATCTTTTTGGTACAACAACACTTCTTCAAGTGCATAAATCTAACTGGTGTTTTCAACTAATCACATTTTCTTTTTGTATCTCACAAGGTATGTAGCGGTGGGGAACGAGCCGTTCCTATCAACGTACAACGGCACTTTCGAGTCCACGACCTTCCCAGCCCTCCAAAACATCCAGGCGGCCCTCATCAAGGCCGGGCTCGGCAATCGTGTCAAGGTAACCGTCCCTCTCAACGCTGACGTCTACCAGAGCCCCTCCCAACTCCCATCCTCCGGCGACTTCCGGCCCAACATCCGCGACCTCATGCTCCAAATTGTCACCTTCCTCGCCCAGAACGGCTCCCCCTTCACCGTCAACATCTACCCTTTCATCAGCCTCTACAACGACCCGGGATTCCCAATCGACTACGCCTTCTTCAACGGCTACTCGTCCCCGATAATCGACGGGACCCGCACCTACACGAACGTCTTCGACGCCAATTACGACACCCTCGTCTGGGCACTTCAGAACAACGGCTTCCCCAACATGACCATCATCGTGGGCGAGGTCGGGTGGCCCACCGACGGGGACCGCAACGCGAACCCGGGCTACGCCCAGCGGTTCAACCAGGGCTTCCTGTCGCGAGTCAACCAGGGGACGCCCATGAGGCCCGGCCCGATCGATGCGTACCTTTTCAGCCTCGTGGACGAGGACGCGAAGAGCATCCAGCCGGGGAATTTCGAGCGCCACTGGGGGATTTTCTACTACGACGGCACCCCAAAGTACAACCTCAGCTTGGGGGGGCCCAGAGGCGGCGAGGGGGTAGTGGGGGCAGAGGGGGTCCGGCGCCTCCCGGGGAGGTGGTGCGTGATGTCCGGGGGGGCGAGTCTGGACGACCCGCAGGTGGCGAACAGCGTGGCCTACGCGTGCTCCAGGGCCGACTGCACGAGCCTCGGGTACGGGACCTCGTGCGGGAGCCTGGACGGGATGGGGAACGTGTCGTACGCGTTCAATAGCTACTACCAGATCCAGGACCAGCGGGCGGACGCGTGCAGGTTTGCGAACCTGTCGGTGGTTGTTACGCGGGACCCGTCGGTCGGGACGTGCCGGTTTGGGGTCATGATCGACACCAGAGGAGGGGGGAGCGGGTGGGGCCCGCCTGGTTTGTTGATTAGGATTGTTGTGTTGTTGGTGGCCATTTTTGCTTAGGGGGGCTAAGTGGTTTCATTCTTTTTTTACTTGTAAATGGAACGATATGTGCGCTTAATGTATGTTTACTGTAATTTTTCAGAATCTGGGTTAAAGTGGAACAAATAGATGCTATAGGTTACAAAGTGATGGAAAGTTATGAATTCGGCTTTCCCAATTTTGGAATGCGGAAAGAACTTGGCTATTTGAACGCTAATAAAAGTTAGGGACACGATTTTACTTGTAAGAATCGGCGGATCCATCACTTCATTTGTCTTCGGTACGACTGCATTGCCTGCGGCATCAAATTCAACAACACTTGAAATAACAGAAACTGTTCTCATGGAGCTGATGTTTTTGAGGTGTATTTAATTGAACCATTATAGCCTTTATAGGCTTTTTAAAAATGAATTGTTATTTACCGCCTTCCTATTACTAGTCACTGCCCCCCAATTACGAAAATACCCTTTACTCTAT